CTTCTATGGCTAACGCGTTTAGCAATAAAGTAAAGTAATTTACATGGTGTTCTTCAATGACACGCAGGTCATACAAAAATAAAGACAACTCCTATGGCTCCTGCCGGTTGTCATACTCATCGACATGCAAGTCGTGATTCCTATTACAAGAACATGATCTCATACATCACAATATATCATTCATCATTCATCACAACTTCTGGCCATATCACATCACATGACAATTGCTGCAAAAACAAGTTAGACGTCCTCTAATTGTTGTTGCATCTTTTACGTGGCTGCAATTGGGTTCTAGCAAGAACATTTTCTTACCTACGAATAACCACAACGTGATTTTGTCAACTTCTATTTACCCTTCATAAGGACCCTTTTCGTCGAATCCGCTCCAACTAAAGTGGGAGAGACAGACACCCGCTAGCCACCTTATGCAACTAGTGCATGTCAGTCGGTGGAACCTGTCTCACGTAAGCGTACGTGTAAGGTCGGTCCGGGCCGCTTCATCCCACAATACCGCTGAAGCAAAATAAGACTAGTAGCGGCAAGCAAGTTGACAAGATCTACGCCCACAACAAAATTGTGTTCTACTCGTGCAATAGAGAACTACGCATAGACCTAGCTCATGATGCCACTGTTGGGGAACGTTGCAGAAAATAAAAAAATTCCTACGGTTTCACCAAGATCCATCTATGAGTTCATCTAAGCAACGAGTGATAGGAGAGAGATTGCATCTACATACCACTTGTAGATCGCATGCGGAAGCGTTCAAGAGAACGGGGATGATGGAGTCGTACTCGCCGTGATCCAAATCACCGATGACCAAATGCCGAACGGACAGCACCTCCGCGTTCAACACACGTACGGAGCGGATGACGTCTCCTCCTTCTTGATCCAGCAAGGGGGAAGAAGAGGTTGAGGAAGAAGGCTCCAGCAGCAGCACGACGGCGTGGTGATGGTGGAGAGGCAGTACTCCGACAGGGCTTCGGCAAGCACTTAACGGAGGAGGAGAGGTGTTGGGGAGGGGAGGGGTTGCGCCTTGGATGTTGTCTGCAGCCCTCCCCTCGCCCCTCTATTTATAGGGGAAGGGGGCCGGCCCCCTCTAGATGAGATCTAGAGGGGGGGCGGCGGCCAAGGGAGGGGGCTTGCCCCCCAAGCAAGGGGGGCGCCCCCATTAGGGTTTCCCCCCAACCCTAGGCGCATGGGCCCAAGGGGGGGGGCGCACCCAGCCCTCCAGGGGCTGGTTCCCTGCCCCCTACGGCCCATGAGGCCCTCCGAGAGGGGTGGCCCCTCCCGGTGGACCCCCGGAACCCCTCTGGTGGCCCCGGTACAATACTGATATGCCCCCGAAACTTTCCGGTGACCGTATGACAACTTCCCATATATAAATCTTTACCTCCGGACCATTACGGAACTCCTCGTGACGTCCGGGATCTCATCCGGGACTCCGAACAACATTCAGTAATCACATACAAGTCTTCCTAATAACCCTAGCGTCACCGAACCTTAAGTGTGTAGACCCTACGGGTTCGGGAGGCATGCAGACATGACCGAGATGGCTCTCCGGTCAATAACCAACATCAGGATATGGATACCCATGTTGGCTCCCACATGCTCCTCGATGATCTCATCGGATGAACCACGATGTCGAGGATTCAATCAACCGTGCATACAATTCCCTTTGTCAGACGGTATGTTACTTGCCCGAGATTCGATCGTCGGTATCCCAATACCTCGTTGAATCTCGTTGCCGGCAAGTCACTTTACTCGTACCGTAATGCATGATCCCGTGACCAGACACTTGGTCACTTTGAGCTCATTATGATGATGCACTACCGAGTGGGCCCAGTGATACCTCTCCGTAATACGGAGTGTCAAATCCCAGTCTCGATCCGTGTCAACCCAACAGACACTTTTGAAGATACCTGTAGTGCACCTTTATAGTCACCCAGTTACGTTGTGACGTTTGGTACACCCAAAGCACTCCTACGGTATCCGGGAGTTACACGATCTCATGGTCTAAGGAAAAGATACTTGACATTGGAAAAGCTCTAGCAAAACGAACTACACGATCTTGTGCTATGCTTAGGATTGGGTCTTGTCCATCACATCATTCTCCTAATGATGTGATCCCGTTGCCAACGACATCTAATGTCCATAGTCAGGAAACCATGACTATCCGTTGACCAACGAGCTAGTCAACTAGAGGCTTTCTAGGGACGTATTGTGGTCTATGTATTCACACGTGTATTACGATTTCCGGATAATACAATTATAGCATGAATAAAAGACAATTATCATGAACAAGGAAATATAATAATAATCCTTTTATTATTGCCTCTAGGGCATATTTCCAACACTCCGGCCAGCACACGCACTCCGGAGTCGGAGGCGCGCGCCGCGAGAGGCAGCGTACACGGGAGAGGGAGGCGGCGGAGCAGCCCGCGCGCTGCTGCCATGGGACGGAGCCAGACGTCGATGAGGACGCGCGTCTCCTCGCTTGGGCGTACCGCTGCTCCGTCACAATGGCAGAGACAGATGCTCGCCGGCCCCGACGAAAGAACGCCTAGGCGCTCCGGCTAGCTATTGAGCAGTCGGAGCGCGAGGCGAAGGAGGCAGCGATGGAGAAGGCTCGGGTGGCAAGGCTGAAGCGGGAGCAGGACAGGGCGGTCCATCGGATGAAGGGGCTCATCGTCCTATCCGACTCCGACTCAGATGGCGACAACAGCTGCAGGTGGTCATCCGATGACCAAGATCCTCCACCAGTCGCAGACGTGTACATCTGCGCCGGTGACCGGAAGGGCAAAGGCCCGGCGAGGAAGTGGTGATTCCGGCCCCCTCCTCCTCAATGTTGATATTGTTTAGTTGTAGAAGTTTGTGAACTTGTCCGTGGACGAACTATGATCTTTTGGATATGGTGAAGTATGTCATGTTCGTTTGTAGCCGATCTTGTGTTCCTTTGCAGCTCAATTTTTGTGTCCGTCATTTGATCATGTGGATATATCAACGTGTGCATGGGTAGTAAGGATATAAGGTGCCAGATATAAGATAAGCGGATGTAGAATGATAAATATGAAGGGTGGCTTGACGGGCCGGATTTGACAAGTCCAGCTATAGATGCTCTTATGAATTTTTTTTTGTCAAAAATAGAGTCCTCGGCAGGCGTCAGTTCAAGATATGATTTTTTTCTTTTTGCGGGATATGAGTTCATGGGACACGTAGCAAACGGGAAGGAGGCCGATGCTTGCGTGGTCTCTCTGCAACATAGCCGATGTTGCACCTAAAAAGGTTGGATCGTGTTGCAAAACTGGTGTACGCATCCCCTATCCGATCACAGTTGATCCAACGACTAGTTCGACGATAGATGCGTGCGCTGGATTGTTAGGAACGCTCGAATTGTTCGTTTCCAGTGAACTAGAGGGGTGCGGCGGTGCAGGGTGGAATCAGGACATGACAGGAGACCAAAATCTACCGGCATGGGATGGCGCAAAATCTAATGTCATCCCCCCTTTTTACTCGCTCACCTCTAATGGTAAGAACAACCAGGACGTGCGCACAAACATTCCATCACCCTAGCACCCTCAGTTTATTTATCGTTCAACTAGCCATCGAGAGAGCACGTCGCGCTATTTATCAATCAGTCAATTCCGCTATCTAGGGGGGATGCCGATCCTCATGCCCTTCTCGCAGTGACCGGGGAAGGTGCAGATGAAGTAGGCCTTGCCGCCGGGCATCTCGAAGGTATCGTTGCCGGAGGAGTGAACCTTGGCGCCGTCGGGGGCCTTGCACTCCATGTACCCGCCCACCTCCACCTTCACCACGTTGTGCGCTCCAGGCTCGTACTTGAACACTAATAGCCATCAAATCAAGCGAATATTAATAAAGTAAAATGATCGATCCAGCAACTGGCCGCGTGTGATCGGGTCACTCACCGAGCTTGTCGCCGGGCTGGATCGGCTTGTCGTTCTCCCAGCCGGCGACGCCGAAGGTCCACCCCTTGTCGCCGCCGACGATCCACTCCGTCGCTCGCACGGTGGTCGCAGCGCAGCACCAGGCTAGAAGCAGCACGAGAGCGACGGGGCCCATGCTTGGTCGTGCCATTGACGCCTCCGATCGACAGTCCGGTTCACAACTGGTAACACACACACAAGAACAATGCCGTACGTCCAGACGCCCTCGCTTTATAACAAGCGGCTCGATGGGAGGCATCAGGCATGGCATCCACCTCGCATGGCAAGTGTCCGTCAGCGGCCAGCCCGTATAAACAAATTCATTGATTCGCGGAATCTCATATACTTAAGCACCATTAAATGCGCGGTATTAACATTTGAAATCAAGAGCCGAAATAAAACAGGGATACGCATCATTTGTTCCCATGTTTGGATGAGATACCGTGTGCGGCAACGTGTTTCTTTTAGGCAATCTTGATGGTCCGTGTTTGGCGAGCAGGAGAGAGACATGCATGGACCAACGACAGTTAATGATACAGGCCCATCCCATCGCAGGCCCATCGCATCGCACTGTTGCTGTTGTCCACAGCAACTCGCGGCTGGCCCAACCACTACGGAGATGCACATCAACCTGGAGTGCCTAAAAAAAACTTGTAACCTTGAGGTTCCTAAAAAAAACAGTAAAGGTTCAAATTGAGTACTCCCTCCGTTTCATAATATAAGAACGTTTTTCTACACTCTTATATAATGAGACGGAGGGAATAGTACTCGTGAGTCTCGACTGAGCAAATTGCGAGCTTATTACACTGTGCCAGTTTTTTTTCTTTGCGAGATAAACCAGTACATTTTTTTTACCACTACATTTCTAATTACACTGAGTACCTCGTCATCATGTCCCAGATATGCCCTGTGTATAAAAAGAATGTACACTTGGTACTTGACTCGAAGAGCCAAAAAAAAAGGAGTACTTGACTCGGACGTATGTACAACACTCTACTAGGCTCTGATCTCTCATCAACACACACACGAACGAGACTACAGTATCAAGCAATTTTCTCATGAGCATTTCATGAAGCTCCCGATGTGGCTTCTTATGTTGCAACTCATCAATACAGGCTCCTGCGCACCTGAAAAAAAAAAGACATGCCACGATAAAATAACAGCAGTGGTTATGTGCAGTTGATCGATCCGTAAGATGCTTGAGTGTAGAATTGTCACCTCGAATCCGACGAGCGAGCGGGTCCGGCTGTAGACGGTGGACACGGTGGTGGCCGCGGTGACCACGGAGCTGGTGGTGGACCCGCACTCGCTGTCCTTGAGCGACGCCGTCGACGTGTCCAGCCTCACCGACGTCGACGACGACCACGGCCGGTGGAAGAAGGGCGACTGGCGCGGCGCCGACCCGGCCTGCTGCTGCGACGACGACCGCTGCATCCTGGCGCCCCGCGGCACGCTCCTGTGCTCCGCCCCCTTCCTCCTGCTCGGTTGCCGCTCCAGCGCCTCCGCGGCCGCGCGCTGCCTCGGCGCGCTCTGGGACCGCGCCTTGGCCCTCGACGACTCGGTGTTGCTCATGTAGCTCGGGAACGGCAAGTCCGACGCCGCTGGCTCCGCCATGGCCGCCGTCGCGTTGTGGGAGTGGGAGTGCGGGCTGCTGTGCGCCGTCCCGAAGGACAGGTGGTCCTCCACGTGCCAGCTGCTCGCCCTCGGGCTCAGCTCCGTCATGGCCGACGGCGCCGGCGAGCACCTGCCGCCGTGGTGGTACTCGACGGAGGAGAACTGCCTGTCGCCGCCCTTCGCCCCGCCGCGCCGCGCTGGCTGCTCGCCGCTGTCCATCTCGACGATCTTCACATTCTCCTCGCTCGACCGGTCCATCTCCTGCATGTTCCAAGCCAAAATTCAACAATTAAGATCGTGTCAAGTTCCGCTTGGCACCGCCGGCTGCTGCAAGTGAAGAAGGTGAGCTTACGTAGGACGATCTGCGGTGCCTCGAGTGCTGCGACGACGGTCGTGGTCTAGGCGGCGTTGTGTGGTGGGCGTGGTGGTCTTGGACTTGAAGGAAGCGCATGCGCTGCGCGCGCAGCTGGGACTGCGCCGCGAGCAGGGCCTGCATGCACCGGAGCGTGGCCTTGGCCTGCTTCCTCACCAGCTGACCGCGCACCAGCGCCTGCAGCTTCACGATGCCCCTCAGCGCGCACAGCGCCGCTCTCGCCTGCGTGCATGCACGTCAGTCAGTCCCAAGAACGCGACCAGAAAATGAAGTGTTTGGTCTGAATTATATATACCAGATAGCCTCTGAAGGATGCCTGAATCCTCACAGCCGCCGCCGCCTCGGCGAGGAGGCTCGCCGGCGGCGTCAGGTGCGGCGCCTTGCGGGAAGACAGACGTGCCACAGTGGCCGCCGCCTGCGCCGCGGCGCCCGCCACGTCTGCGGCGGTCGCGCTCGCCACAGCCACCGCCACGGCGTGCTTCTTCTCGTCGTACCCAACCTGCGATGTCGCGGACGACCGAGACGCACCAAAGCTGTCGGCCTCAGCCGGCAGCACGACGCGTCCAGTCTGCTCCGGCGTCAGCACCACCGGCCGCCGGAAGCTCCACCTCTTTTCCTTGGGCGTCGCCGCAGGCCCCGGTCCCGGCGTGGCCTCGGCGTGCGGCCTGTCCCTCTTCCCATCCTTCCTGCCGCCGGCCAAGAAGTTCCTGAGCCACCTCCCCGCCTTCCCCATCGCTCCTTAGCCAACCGACCTCTGCTGCTCTGCAAAAATGAAACGCAACGTGCATGTATTCATCACCCTAGTTGCATGGACGCCATGGCTATGCAGCAGCAGAGCAGCCAACCGTAATTCAGCGCGTAATCTATGGTTAGCACCTAACAGATTCCGAGCACGCAGCGGCGGCCAACCACCACCGCCGAGCTACTCCAACGTAGCAGTCAACCGCGGCGAGGTGCGCGCGAGTGGCCACGTGAAGCGGCTCGCGGAGAACATGGCATGGATCACCTCCATGGCTGTCAGAACCATTTTAATATCGGACGGGAAGGACCGCAGGAGGGTGCACGCACGTACACGGCCGGGTCCATGTCACTCAATCATGGGTTGGTTAGGTTGGGGTTGATCGGTTGGTTAGCCCTCGTGAGCAGCTGCCCTGCTCGCCATTCCTAGCTGGTCTCTGTCCTCAGGTTCGTCCCTGGAAGAATCTGAGGTTAAGTACCCTCTCTGTTTCTTTAATGGCGTTAGTTAGCTCGACCGAAAGCCTGCACAAGTTTGACATGGCAAAGACCTAGAATCCACGAGCTGCGAAGACAAAATCAAGAACTACTACATGGATTTTATACTACAGATCAGATGCTTGTGTCTGTGCATGTTCCGTACGGATGTCATGTCAGATTGGATTTTGTGCGGCGATCACCGGTCGGCCTGAGGCCAAAAGAAGGAGAGCTCACATGTGCTGGATGTCTGGATTTTATGTATGCGATCACTGTTTAGGTTTTAATTAGCCATCGAGGCCACAAGGAGAATCCAAGCATTTCCATGCCACTGTGACAACGGTGCATGTGCCCCACCCCACCCTGTTCACCACGCATCCGTCCACCGAACCTGAACCTCTCAGTACGGCGTCAGTACTCGCCCTAATCATCCGGATCTGGTGGTACGTAGCTGCCGCTGGAACTACAGATCATGGCGTGTAATGCAGATGATACATCTGAATTTGGAGCACTGCCCGCGAGGGTGACGGCGACAATGCAGAACCGGAGAGTACTGCCACTGTCCGGCACTGTACTGCTTGCTGTCTTAGCTGGATGGCCGGAGCACGCAGGAGACGGCAACATCATGATAGATAGGCCCCGGTGTGGGTGTGGGTGTGGTTTGGCCTGCTTGCTCGTTCGTCTTTAATGACCGCACCGCACGGAGCTATAGGGCTCATCGCACTTGCAGCGGCCGGCTGGTGCAGGGCCTCCGGCCGGCGGTGGACGTCTTCCATCTGCATGCGCATGAGGTGTATACCGCTCGCGTCCGTATATGTCGTTGGCTGGTCTCGAGGTGAAATTGTTTTTTTATGGACAAACGCCCACACGTGTGAGCGTTAATGGGTCTGTCCACATAGTTTGTGTGGTGTTTAACAGGATCAGCCCACATGCGTACGTGTGGGCAAAACAAGTAATGCCCACACTTCTCTTTTTTTTTTCGCGGTCCCTCTCACGTGCCTGCGTGTGGGCAAAATAGATGACGCCCACACGCCTGTATGTCAGACCTCCTACCTTATGGTCCCGCACGCCCCACGTGACAGTCACCAGCGTCTCCGCAGGTGCCATGGTCTGGACCCTCTTCCATGTTCATTTAACTGCAGTTGTCATGTCGCTGAACTACAATTGCCATGTCGGACAACCACAGTTGCCATGGTTGCTCAACTGCAGTTGCCATGTATGGTCTGGTCTACTGCAGTTGCCATGTTTTCAAAACTTTAGGAGTTGCCACGTACTAACACTAAGCAGTTAAGATAGTTGTCATGTGCTCACAAGCACGCTAGGGCAGCTGCCATGTAAAAGGAAGAGTTGACATCTGCTTACGTGCACGCTAGGGCAGTTGCCATGTACCATGCAAAAACACATGGCAACTCGGGTAAAAGAGAGTTATCATCTGCTTACGTGCATACTAGGCAGTTGTCGTGTACCCTGCAAAACACATGGCAACTGACATGTTCGGGTAAAAAAAGAGTTTTTATCTGCGTACAAGCACTCTAGGGCAGTTGCCATGTACACTGCAAAACACATGATAACTAGCAGCTTGGGTGTGGGAGAAGAGGCGGGCGTGTGGGCGAGATGGCAAATGCTACACACCAGCCCTTGTGCGTGAGTGAAAACTGGCGTGTGGGCGAACTGCTAAACACCCACACACTGGCCCCTCCGTGTGGTGAAACGGACGTGTGGGCGACCAGATGAATGCCCCCACACCAGCCCAGTCCTATGTGACACCACAAACATGCCAAGATTCATGCACCCACAAAAGAACGCGGATCCACGCGTGTGGGCGAGATGCAAACGCCCACACGTGCGGGCGTTAGTGTTTTCGTTTTCTATTTCCAGTAGTTGTTTTTTTTCTCAAGATGGAACCGCGTGCACTCAAAGAAACCTTTTTCCTCTCTTACTTTTTTTTGAAAACCCAGCCCATATATTAATTAAAATAGCTCGTACTCGTAATTAGGAAGTTCTAGAAGGAGACCCATCATTTTGCAATGTCATACCATCATTCGTTACAGCATCAACCACACGTGCCGGAACACTATCAATAAGAGCACCATCACAGCTATTATTCAAACTAAACTTACCTAACTCGTGCACCACCATATTAGCTTTTCTGCTAATCTTGGAAATCTTAACATTCGCCAGCATCTTAGAAATACTCAAAGCTTGTTTCTTTAGGTCAACAAGGTGGGACCTATCACAACTGTCATTTCCAAGAACACCGACCACAAAGGAACAGCCACTTTCTAAAATGATGGATTTATGAAGGATAGTACCGATATACAATCCGGAGAGTGCCGCTCTAAGTTCCGCTTCCTCAGCGCTATAGCAAGCTCCAATATAATCCCAAGAGGAGATGGCAACTTCTTCACAGTGATTTTTGACAACCACCCCCACACTCGCAGTGTTGATTGCCTCCACAAAACTTGCATCTACATTAATCTTAAAGCACTCCTCGTTGGGAGGTTGCCAACCAACATAACTCCTCTCCATATTATTCAAAGCCCGAATGTCATCCCCCAGTTCCTTGCCTATGTTACTTATCACTCCCTGCGGTTTTGCGTGGCAAGAAGAAAAGAATGCCCATTAATTTTGCACAAAATTCACAGAAGCTGAGATGGGTTCTTTACCTTTATCAAAAATCAGATCATTTCTTAAATGCCAAGCTCTCCAAATATAGTTTGCTCACGCGCCAACGGATTTAATTGATCCAGTAAAATAAGGAACCAATCCGGCCCCGTATTTTTGAGAAACCCTTCGGCTGGTAAATTCCACACCTTTCTCAAAGCCATCCGGAATGCACGAGCCTTTGGGCAACTCACCAAGGCATGAAAAGTGCATTCATCCTCCACACCACAGATGTACACGCACTCAGGATGGTTTGATGATGCTTAACTCTGTTAATTTGAACTGCCAAACTGTTTGAAGCAACTCGCCAGGAAAAAATTCTAATCTTCTGAGGAACATTAGCTCTCCAGATAATATTCCAAATCCTCCTCTCTCCATTAACTTCTCCACTAGAATTTCCCAGACTATCTGTTGAGTCCCTGATATTCAGTGCGAGCCTGTACGCGCTCTTCACAGCAAATATGCCACTTTTCTCATGATGCCGAGCAATAAGGTCCCCCTCACCCAAATCCAGAGCACGTATCTTTAAGATTTCATCTGCATCATGAGGATAAAATAAGTGCCTGATCAAATTATCATCCCACCTCCTAGAATCTGTCATGAATAACTCAGACACACATCTAATCCTTGTTCTATTTTTCTTACCGGTAATCTTTAGGCCAGACTCCTGATACGTCTCCAATGTATCTATAGTTTTTGATTGTTCCATGCTATTATATTACCTGTTTTGGATGTTCATGGGCTTTACTTTACACTTTTATATCATTTTTTGGACTAACCTACTAACTGGAGGCCCAGCCCGAATTGCTTTTTTTTTGTCTATTTCAGTGTTTTGAAGAAAAGGAATATCAAACAGAGTCCAAACGGGATGAAACCTTCGGGAGCGATCTTTTTGGAACAAATGCAAACATGAGACTTGGAGTGGACATCAAGCAACAAACAAGGCGGCCACGAGGGTGCCCGACGCGCCCCCTGGGGTGGGCGCGCCCCCACCCTCGTGGGCCCCTCGAACATCAACCGACCTACTTCTTCCTCCTATATATACTCCAGTACACTGAAACCTTCGAGGAGCACCACGAAAACCTAATTCCACCGCCGCAACCTTCTGTATCCGCGAGATCCCATCTTGGAGCCTTCGCTGTTGCTCCACCGGAGGGGGAATCGACCACGGAGGGCCTCTACATCATCTCCAAGGCCTCTCCGATGAGTTGTGAGTAGTTTACCACAGACCTTCGGGTCTGTAGTTATTAGCTAGATGGCTTATTCTCTCTCTTTGAATCTCAATACCAAGTTCTCCTCGATCTTCTTGGAGATCTATTCGATGTAACTCTTTTTGCGGTGTGTTTGTCGAGATCCGATGAATTGTGGGTTTATGATCAAGTTTATCTATGAGAAATAATTGAATCTCCTCTGAATTCTTTTATGTATGATTTGTTATCTTTGCAAGTCTCTTCGAATTATCAGTTTGGTTTGGCCTACGAGATTGATCTTTCTTGCAATGGGAGAAGTGCTTAGCTTTGGGTTCAATCTTGCAGTGTCCTTTCCCAGTGACAGCAGGGGCAGCAAGGCACGTATTGCATTGTTGCCATCAAGGATAAAAAAATGGGGTTTATATCATATTGCATGAGTTTATCCCTCTACATCATATCATCTTTCTTAATGCGTTACTCTGTTCTTATGAACTTAATACTCTAGATGCAGGCAGGAGTCGGTCGATGTGTGGAGTAATAGTAGTAGATGCAGAATCGTTTCGATCTACTTGTCACGGACGTGATGCCTATATACATGATCATGCCTGGACAATCTCATAACTATGCACTTTTCTATCAATTGCTTGATAGTAATTTGTTCACCCAC